AATATATATATAAAATAGGCGACGTTTCGGGCAATGGTCCTTCTTCATCACTCTGGATGCGATGAAGAAGCGCCGTTAGCCAAAAACGAGACACAATCTGTCTGCTGTGAAGAAGGGCCATTGCTTGAAACGTCACCTATTGTAAAGAGTGGTCGAAAAGTCAGGACACAGGGTTATTTCATTTAACACTGGATTTTATTTTATTTTTGCTTAAGTTAATCATCTATCTATTATCATTAACATCTATTTTTCCTCTTCCTTTTCAGATGAAATTAAAACTATGTTAAGAAAATGTTACTTAAGACGAACGAGTTCTATTAGTTTGGCATGTGTGTTAAATTTGGCAGTGTGCATCGATCAGTTGCTGAAGACGTTAATAATGTGGTTTACCCTGACAGATATATTGTATTTTCATCCCTCAGAAAAGCCATCATGCGTTTTAATGTTAATGGCAGTCACTTTTAACATTTGTTAAACTAAAGAAAATAGCCCTATGTGATTTGTTAAAATAAATATAATCCGACGTGGCATAGATTTTGGGCAACCATGTAGACATTTCCTTTTAAGGCCACTGTTATTGAAGAACGTGTGTGTTTTTGTTGTTATCAGCGTACTGGGAGACCTTTGAGTGAGCAGCTCTTGATCGACATCGATGATAATCGCACAAAGTTATGCGGCGCCTGCCTGTCACCAAATCGACGGGAATTCGCCGGATCTCGTGAGACTGAGCAAACTCAGCGGGTTTGAGTATCAGTAATTCTAGATTTGAAGCTTTCGTGACTGATGATGGGTACAAATTGAGCAATCATTGGAAAGATGTTATTAACCATATAAAAAAAGATTTAACTGCGCATATTTGTACCATCATATTTGACAGGTACTAGTCTATTTTACTGAGTTGTTGACATCCCCAGCGTTTAACAGCGCTGCTGTTTTTTGGTTTTGGAAGCCAACACCTACCGTAATTCTTGCCGAGGTGCTGAACAGCTGTACCTCCCCCTTCTAGCCCCGCCCACCTCCCCCTTCTAGCCCCGCCCACCTCCCCCCACGTGACTGCCACATTTAGATAAGCTCCTCCCCCCTCCCCTTAACCAGTATATAAGATCTTGTCTCTTGGATTTCCCTTCACTTGATACAGTAAATTTGACTGTGACGGTCCCACCTGAAGACGGAGACTTGTGTTGCCTCCGAAACGTCGTGATTTAATTTATTTATTTTCATTTATTATTATTATTATTATACTATGGGGACCTCATTTGCCAGTAAAAATATGATAATTGGTTCTTTACCCTTCTATCTGGCAACAAAACTGACACCTTTTTACAAGGAGTCATGTTTGCATAGACCGCAATACCTGCAGTCATAAAACTAACCGCTATGACTGCAGGTATTGCGGTCTATGCAAACATGACTCCTTGTAAAAAGGTGTCAGTTTTGTTGCCAGATAGAAGGGTAAAGAACCAATTATCATATTATTATTATTTTTACCTACGTGACTTTACCGAAAAAACCTTTGAGTATCAGTAGTCCTTTGGGTTGGGTGACTCCCACCACGATCATTGCATATAACGGGGCTGTAGGCTGCTTCGGTACTGCGTTGCGGCCATCACACAGAGTACCTCTGTAATGAGAGAGCACACCTGCATACGGAGGGCTGCATAGGCATTGCCGCATCGGTCATAGCCAATCAGGGTTACGGGTTCGACCTGGGCCAAAGTTCATGCGGGAACCATCGAGAAGGTTCTGAAGGGGGCGTGGTTAGAGGCGGGGCTTCGCTCCGCCAAGGAGGATATAGGGAGAGGCAGGAGGAGGACTTGGGGTTCGGTGTGGACGCCTGGGTCCGGACTGCATCTCCGCCATCTCGTCAGCAGCTGCGAGCGAAGCCGTCGACCAGCGGTGCGCGGGGAAGCGAGAGACGAGGGAAGCCGCGCGGAAACAACGCAGCAGAGAGCTCGTGCATGCGGCAAGAGAGAGAGAGAGGGTGACATATAAAGAGAGTGTGGAGCCGTGCAGTCATAACTAATAAAGAAAGGACGCAAGTGTCAACGTGTCGTGGAAGTCGTTTATTACACTTCTATGCTGCTCGCCTTCACCAACGCGGTGGTCAGGAGCCACGACCCGCATGGCGTGGCAGGGGCGGGGGAGTTGGTGGGGGGAGGCTCTTATCCAGCAGTGGATATACAGCAGGTGCGGTGTACATGCAGACAGGGTGCTTCAACATGTGTTTAACACGTAAATAGGACTATCGGCATTGTTGCAAATTCTCAGAAGCGTTAACATTTTTTTGAAGCACCCTGCACATTGATAAGTTCAACTAACGACACCAATCAATCAATCAACGGGCAAATCATCGATTCGCCCACGTTTACCGGCTGTAACTACGTGCAAATTGGTTGTCTTGCAGTACTTTATTCAATTGCGTTACATTTGTTCCCTCTCCAATCTAGATTGTCCTGTCGGCATCATTGCATGGGATCACGTTAGCCATTCGGAACGAATTATAATCTACTGATGCGCGGTTGCTGCTTGCTGCTGCTGGTACTCGTGCACAAACACGATACCGAGAAGAAAACTCCACATGGTGACAATCGCACCGCAAGACGCCGATGCTATGAACGAAACTATAAACAATTGTTATTTTATTTTACCAGGTGAAGCCCACTGAGCGATTGAAGCTCTTTTTCAGAAGCGACCTGGTCACAAATGATAGCTCAACAAAGTGGCTTATCATCGTGTGGAAACTTCGAGTAACAGCCAAATACTCTCAAAGTACGTTTCAAACTAAGAATATTAATATTCTTGGTTCTTTCGGTAAAGTCACATAGAAGGGAGATAATAAAATTATGTTTTATTGTTTTATATTTATATTATTTTATTATCTCCCTTCTACGTGACTTTACCGAAATAACCAGGAATATGAATCCCTGCAGTCACGAAAGCTTTAAATCAAAATTTAAGAATATTAAGTTTTAGAGAGGTTAAACTAAACTATTCTATTTTTTAATCGGGTAAAGCCCACTGAACTATCATAGCTCTTTTGTCAGAAACGACCTGGCCACAGATAATACCTCCAGGAAGTGGCGCATCATATGGAGATGTACAGCAGCCAAACACTCTAAACGCTTGCTTCTAAATGTGGAGGGGAAAACCGGAGGACCCGGTGAAAAATACACGCGACCACGGAGAGACAGACGCGCAAACTCCAAATATAGAGCAGGCGTCAAGATCGGCAGCGAACCCCCGAACCTCCTGTACACCAGGCGAGGTAGTTAACATCTCGCCACCGTGGCAAGATGCTTATACAGTGGTAAGCGATAGTGTAGTGGTTAGCGCTACGCTGCGCTACGAACCCGGCGACCCGAGTTCGATTCCCGCTCACGGCCAACACCGGTGACGATTATATCTGAACCGGTCCTGGGCTTCCCCTAGGTCGACTCAGCCTCAAATTAGTATCTGGTGCGGTGTGTAAACATCGCCGCTGGAGAGGCAAAGGCGACCGGGCGTGGTGTTGGCCACCCACCCCCTCGTATGTCGTGTCGGCCTTCATAGGTGCTCGCTAACAGCACTTGGCCCTCCAGTCTGTTAAGGCTATACGGGGGATCTTTGTCTGTGCATGTCAGTGTGAATGTCAATACAGTACGTGAGTGTGTGTGGGTGTGTTCGTTTGGGAGCGGTGGCTCAGTTATTGGCGCACCGCGCTACGAAACCGGTGACCCGAGGTCGACTCAACCTTAAATGAGTACCTGGTGCGGTGTTAAACAAAAACAAACCACTCTCTGCACTGGAGATACAAAGGCGGTCGGGCGTAATGCTGCCAACTATTACCTCCTTTGACACTTCCGACTTTCGCGCCTCAACAAATGCCCCGAGCAGCGAGAATGGGAATGTGAGCGTGGGGGTGGGTGAGCGTGGGGGTGGGTGAGCGTTGTGGTGGGTGAGCGTGGGGGTGGGTGAGCGTGGGGGTGGGTGGGCGTGGGGGTGGGTGAGCGTTGTGGTGGGTGAGCGTTGTGGTGGGTGAGCGTTGTGGTGGGTGAGCGTGGGGGTGGGTGAGCGTGGGGGTGGGTGAGCGTGGGGGTGGGTGAGCGTTGTGGTGGATGAGCGTTGTGGTGGGTGAGCGTGGGGGTGGGTGAGCGTTGGGGTGGGTGAGCGTGAGGTGGGTGAGCTTGGGGGTGGGTGAGCGTTGGGGTGGGTGGTGTGTGTGAGCGCTCACAGAAACATCTGCGTTGTGTCATCAACCTTCCCCTTCATCGTTGGTTAAGAAAACACATGGAGGGGTTTGTACAAAGACAAGGAGCCTTTTAGCAGACTGTGATGTTAGCGAGCACTTATGAAAGCCGGTGACACAGCATCACGCCCGGCCGCCTTTTTCTCCCCGGAGCTGATGCTTTATACACACATACACCGCACGTCAGGCTGTACTCATGTAAGGCTGAGTCGACGTAGGTTCAGATAATACCCACTGGTTCCACCAGCCCACAGGGGATTATTGTGTCCGTCCGTCGTGCAAGGAGGGGCTGGGTGGGGAGGGAGGGGCTGGGTGGGGAGGGGAGGGTGGGTTTGGGCTGGGTGGGGAGGGTGGGGCTGGGTGGGGGGTGGGAGGGGTGGGGCTGGGTGGGGAGGGGCTGGTCACCCCGTGGTGCCCTTATAAAACGGGCATATTTGCGGAATACACCACGCCGCCGTTGACCCTGGCCATTGACCGAGCAACCCAACGTTCCTACCAGCTCCCTCCGCAGGACAATGTGTTTATCGTCACCGTGAGTCGGACTCGGCCGGCCGGGTTTGCAGCGCAGCGCGCTCACCGCAATGCTGCCGCACCCCCGACACGCGCACAGACAGAGACCGCTCGCACCCCGCGCCCCGTATCCCCTTGACAAGTTCAGACAACCGAGCAAACACACGCGCAAGCATTTCCCCTGCGTCAACCCGGGGCGTTTACACACCCGCGCCTTTGTATTTATTGTGTTGTTGTTGTTGTTGTTCTTGTTGTCTGTTTGCAGATGAGCGCGAGCGCGTCCAGAAGAAGACCTTCACCAAGTGGGTGAACAATCACCTGCAGAAGGTACTCCCCGCAGCAACGGCTCCCCCACCCCATCACCTTAGCACACTGTTGGGGACAAGTGCTGTTAGCGAGCACCTATGAAGGCCGGAAAGGCACACGATGAGTATGGTCAATACCACGCCCGACCGCCTTTGCGTCCCTAGTGGCGTTGTTTACACACCGCCGCACCAGATACTCATTTGAGGTTGAGTCGACCTAGGGGAGGCCTATGGCCAGTTCAGATAATCGTCACCAATGTTGGCCGTGAGCGAGAGTCGAACTCGGGTCTCCGGGTTTTGTAGCGAAACCACTACACGACCGCTCCCCACTCCCCACCCACTCATCACCACCACCATCATCACCACCACCACCACCACGCACTCTATCCAGTGGCCGCGATATGATATACGATGATAGAATCATCCGTTTAGCTCCATCAACATCTATATATCAGAATATTTTTTTATCCCGGAGAAATCCGATGAGCTATGAAGCTCTTTTTAACACATGTCCAGTAGGGGGTGAGTCAGAATGTTACAACAACAATACGAACAACACGATTGGAGTGCAAAGTCTAGGAAAAGTAAGCAAATCACTCAACATAAATACTCGAAGTACAAATTGCATATCGTTGTCGTACCACGATTTTCGTTGCTCATCTTGCTATATTTTTTAATGGAATATTTTACCTGATTCTATTGTAATGTGAAAGTTGTGGGTTGGTGTGATAACCCACCCAAGCAGGATGTGAACTCGCAACCGACAGATCCAGGAGCGAGCCTCTCTGAGCTGCCTGCCGATCCACCTGGCGTGGTTTAATAGTTCCGCTGTTGCAAATACTAAAAAAAACACTGTGACCCGAATAATGGAACCGCATCCGTGAAAAAAATGACAACCAGACGCAACCCAACCACGCCGACTGACCAGAACTCGGTCCTGAGCCTCTCCCTAGGTCGACTCAGCCTCAAATGAGTACCCGGTGCAGTGTGTAAAAATCGCTGCTAGGGAGACAAAGGCGGTCGGGCGTGGTGCTGGCCACCCATCCCCTCGTGTGCCGTGCCTGCCTTCATAGGTACTACTCGCTAACAGCACTTGACCCCACCGTCTGTTAAGGCTACACGGGGGATCTTTGTCTTGGCGGTGGTGGCGGTGCAGCGTGGGCAAAGATGCCAAGGGCGGATTGACATTGGGCGTGGCGCGCGTTCGGCTGACATGGGCAGGGTCGCGTCTGCCGTGATGACGACGAGCCAGAGACTTCACTCCCCCCACACCCTTAACCCAACCCCCAGACAGACGTGACGGCGGCAGAGGACGCGACGCACGGTCGAGACGGCTCACACGCCCCCCCCAATCCCCCAAAAAACGTACGAAGCAGAACGCGCAACGATGCCCGTCTCCCCCACGAACACATCCATCCCTTGCAAACACCCCAACACATCCACCCCTTGCGAACATCCCAACACATCCATCCCTTGCAAACACCCCAACACATCCATCCCTTGCAAACACCCCAACACATCCATCCCTTGCAAACACCCCAACACATCCATCCCTTGCGAACATCCCAACATAGCCATCCCTTGCAAACACCCCAACACATCCATCCCTTGCGAACACCCCAACACATCCATCCCTTGCGAACACCCCAACACATCCATCCCTTGCAAACACCCCAACACATCCATCCCTTGCAAACACCCCAACACATCCATCCCCTGCAAACATCCCAACACATCCATCCCTTGCGAACACCCCAACACATCCACCCCTTGCAAACACCCCAACACATCCATCCCTTGCAAACACCCCAACACATCCACCCCTTGCGAACATCCCAACACATCCACCCCTTGCAAACACCCCAACACATCCATCCCTTGCAAACACCCCAACACATCCACCCCTTGCGAACATTCCAACACACCCATCCCTTTCAAACATCCCACAACATCCATCCCTTGCAAACACCCCAACACATCCACCCCTTGCGAACATCCCAACACATCCACCCCTTGCAAACACCCCAACACATCCATCCCTTGCAAACACCCCAACACATCCATCCCTTGTGAACATCCCAACACATCCATCCCTTGCAAACACCCCAACACATCCATCCCTTGCGAACACCCCAACACATCCATCCCTTGCAAACACCCCAACACATCCATCCCTTGCGAACATCCCAACACATCCATCCCTTGCGAACATCCCAACACATCCATCCCTTGCAAACACCCCAACACATCCATCCCTTGTGAACATCCCAACACATCCATCCCTTGCGAACATCCCAACACATCCATCCCTTGCGAACATCCCAACACATCCATCCCTTGCGAACATCCCAACACATCCATCCCTTGCAAACACCCCAACACATCCATCCCTTGTGAACATCCCAACACATCCATCCCTTGCGAACATCCCAACACATCCATCCCTTGCGAACATCCCAACACATCCACCCCTTGCAAACATCCCAACACATCCATCCCTTGCGAACATCCCAACACATCCATCCCTTGCAAACACCCCAACACATCCATCCCTTGTGAACATCCCAACACATCCATCCCTTGCAAACACCCCAACACATCCATCCCTTGCAAACACCCCAACACATCCATCCCTTGCGAACATCCCAACACATCCATCCCTTGCGAACATCCCAACACATCCATCCCTTGCGAACATCCCAACACATCCACCCCTTGCAAACATCCCAACACATCCATCCCTTGCGAACATCCCAACACATCCACCCCTTGCAAACACCCCAACACATCCATCCCTTGCGAACATCCCAACACATCCACCCCTTGCGAACATCCCAACACATCCATCCCTTGCGAACATCCCAACACATCCATCCCTTGTGAACATCCCAACACATCCATCCCTTGCAAACATGCCAACACATCCATCCCTTGCGAACATCCCAACACATCCATCCCTTGCGAACATCCCAACACATCCATCCCTTGCGAACATCCCAACACATCCATCCCTTGCGAACACCCCAACACATCCATCCCTTGCAAACACCCCAACACATCCATCCCTAGCAAACACCCCAACACATCCATCCCTTGCGAACATCCCAACACATCCATCCCTTGCAAACACCCCAACACATCCATCCCTTGCAAACACCCCAACACATCCATCCCTTGCAAACACCCCAACACATCCATCCCTAGCAAACACCCCAACACATCCATCCCTTGCAAACACCCCAACACATCCACCCCTTGCGAACATCCCAACACATCCACCCCTTGCAAACATCCCAACACATCCATCCCTTGCAAACACCCCAACACATCCACCCCTTGCGAACATCCCAACACATCCACCCCTTGCAAACACCCCAACACATCCATCCCTTGCAAACACCCCAACACATCCATCCCTTGTGAACATCCCAACACATCCATCCCTTGCGAACATCCCAACACATCCATCCCTTGCGAACCACGGCGCCCAATCCAAACGCCGAGCAATGACAGATGGTTGGTGATATTTGTTGCTGCTGCTGCGTTGGCAGTGGTACGCAGGCATGCATGACATTAATAAAAGTAACACATCATTAATAATACTGTGAGCTTAACACGAAAACAAAAATTAATAGGTGACGTTTCGGGCAACGGCCCTTCTTCACTGCACATTATTAGAGAGACCAGTGGACCTATGTGGCGTAGTCAATGGATCAAATGTGGAGTAGCCATGAAGGCTATATGGGGTTGGTGTGGGTGTATATTGCTTTGCCCCACTGCCAAGATGTATGGGTGGGGTGTTTGGAGCCCCCTCCTGCTGAACTCGATGTGAATAGCAGATGTGTCGCTCGCATTATCATGCTTTCCTCGCACCGTGTCGTGGGGCGGGGGGGGGTGGCTGCTTTGACCATACTTCATCCATGATGGTCAGGAGCTTAGAAATACAACACAACAATACAATTTGCTGCACTGCCTTCTGCTGAATGCTTAACCACGTCGTGTCGTGGCTCAACCGCGCGAACCGCCTGCAACGTGCCGGTATGCCTGGCACGGGCCTTAACCCATGCCTGCACTGTCTAGGCTAAACCCTTCCTAGCTTCCACGATCTCTGACGAGTCCGTGTACATCCCGGGTCATTTGGGCACATGCTTCCCTCCCTCGCGGATCGTAAACGTCGGGCACTCTATACTCTGGCTTGCCCGAAGGCGGTCCAGCAAGTGTGGTGGATTAAGCTCCACCTGTTCCAAGCTTTGTGGGATAGAGTGGTGCCTGCCCCCCCCCACCCCCTCACATGCGTGGGTTTTCTCTAAGCAGCCCAGTTTCTTCACACACATAAACACTCGTTCATTTGCAAACACCTTTACATAATGAGGATCGCCTTTCCCGTTTGTTCGTGGTTCCTCCTCGCACCACTGAGTCAATTCTTCAAAACTAGTTTTGTGTGTGTGTTTAGTTTGTTGTCCTTCCTCCGTACTTCCGATTAGTTGGCTACGTACGGTGCGAAAGAAGTTCAGCATACGTACATAACACGAGTCGTTCTCTCCCTCTCTCTCCGAGAGCGAGCTGATGCTGCGCAGAGGCGGCGCGTTACGAGTTAAAATTATTGTTATTGTTGCTGTTATTCCGTACGAAAGTTCCTTCTTTCTCTCCCCCTGCAGGTGAACGCTAAAATCTCCGACCTCTTTGAGGACCTGCGAGATGGACACAACCTCATCTCCCTGCTGGAGGTCCTCTCTGGAGAGAAGCTGGTGACCGCACGAACGCACGATGCACACAAAGCCAGCACACCCGCACCTCCCATTAGCACGGCTGGCTGCGTACGGTGCGATAGAAGTTCAACGAACGTGCATGCATGGCACGGCAGCTAACTCACGTGGCGTCGTGCGCACTGGGTCGTGGCCGCGTGTCCATTCGGGTGGCCGCCGAGCCGTGAGCTAATTTGCGAACCCACCGATCAGTGAGCCCCACTGTTAGCGCGACTCCGCCCTAACGCGTGACCCCCTGTCCGCGTGCGTGACCCCCAATGTTAGTGTGACCCCACCGATAACGCGTGACCCCATGTCCGCGTGCGTGACCCTCACTGTTAGTGTGACTCCACCGCTAACGAGTGACCTCCTGTCTGCGTGCGTGACCCCCAATATTAGTGCGACCCAACCGCTAACGCGTGACCCCCTCTCCACGTGCGTGACCCCCAATGTTAGTGTGACCCCACCGCTAACGCGTGACCCCCTCTCCACGTGCGTGACCCCCACTGTTAGTGTGACCCCACCGCTAACGCGTGACCCCCTGTCCGCGTGCGTGACCCCCAATGTTAGTGTGACCCCACCGCTAACGAGTGACCCCCTCTCCGCGTGCGTGACCCTCACTGTTAGTGTGACCCCACCGATAACGAGTGACCCCCTGTCCGCGTGCGTGACCCCCACTGTTAGTGCGACCCCACCGCTAACGCGTGACCCCCTCTCCACGTGCGTGACCCCCACTGTTAGTGTGACCCCACTGCTAACGCGTGACCCCCTGTCCACGTGCGTGACCCCCAATGTTAGTGTGACCCCACCGATAACGCGTGACCCCCTCTCCACGTGCGTGACCCCCACTGTTAGTGTGACCCCACTGCTAACGCGTGACCCCCTGTCCGCGTGCGTGACCCCCACCGTTAGTGTGACTCCACCACTAACGAGTGACCTCCTGTCTGCGTGCGTGACCCCCAATGTTAGTGCGACCCAACCGCTAATGCGTGACCCCCTCTCCACGTGCGTGGCCCCCAATGTTAGTGTGACCCCGCCGCTAACGCGTGACCCCCTCTCCACGTGCGTGACCCTCACTGTTAGTGTGACCCCACCGATAACGCGTGACCCTCTCTCCACGTGTGTGACCCCCACTGTTAGTGCGACCCCACCGCTAACGCGTGACCCCCTGTCCGCGTGCATGACCCCCAATGTTAGTGTGACCCCACTGCTAACGCGTGACCCCCTGTCCGCGTGCGTGACCCCCAATGTTAGTCTGACCCCACCACTAACGCGTGACCCCTCTCCGCGTGCGTGACCCCCACTGTTAGTGTGACCCCACCGATAACGAGTGACCCCCTGTCCACGTGCGTGACCCCCACTGTTAGTGCGACCCCACCGCTAACGCGTGACCCCCTCTCCGCGTGCGTGACCCCCACTGTTAGTGTGACCCCACTGCTAACGCGTAACCCCCTGTCCGCGTGCGTGTGCAGCCGCGAGAGAAGGGCAGCATGGCTTTCCACAAGCGCCAGAATGTGCAGTTCGCTCTGGAATTCCTGCGCAATCAAAACGTGAGTGCGCCGCCCGCTCCGAACTCCACACAAACGCACGCAACAGGTACCTTGACGCTTGAAACATAGAATCATCATAATAATAACAAATCCAGGGTTAATATATTCTGTGTCGCTGGAAGACTGAAGCAGGCACGTGCCTCGTAGCCACAACCATAACTTGGCTGGCCTTTTCAAATTCCTTCCTTGATTTTAAGATGTCCTTTTTCTTGCGTGCGTGGTTAGCGAGCCGCCTGCGCGACTTGCTGTTCTATATTTCCGTGTTGGCCCTGCTGTCAAGTGTTACTTGAGTGGTGCGTGACTTGAGGGATGTTGTTGTTTTCCCTCGATCGAGTTCGCTACTCGGTGTCTGCAACATTGTGGATTATTCGCCGGTGTAACTTCCCTTTTTTCACTAAGGCCCTCTGCGTGGTCCATCTTGTAAAACAGCTTAAGGCTGAATGTGTCAATCAATCGATCACAAGCAAACTATAAACTGGTTTTGGTGTGTTGGGAGCAGAAATAATTTCCGCGTTGCCGATTTGGACAGATCCGACCCGGCTGAAATGAAGTGCTGAATAAAGTATTAATCCCGCACCTCAGATTAGCACGGTTGGCTATGCCCAGTGGTACATAAGTTCAACATACAAACCTCCATAATCGTAAACAACTACAATAAACACAGATCCTTCTCTAATAGGGGTTTTCCCCTTTTTTGGCAACAAAACTGACGGTTTTCTTTAGAGCCTAGTCTCATATAGTGTTCGACCAGATGACGCCAAAAGGCACACAAAAGCTGTCTCTGGTGTGCACCAATCAGTTTCAAGGACAATGCATAAATTATCAAAGTATTGTTTCTTGTTTGCATTTGACTGCAAAGTATTGTGGTAATGTAAACATGATTCCTTGCAAAAGATGTCAGTTTTGTTGCCAGAAAAAAAGGGGAAAACCCCTATTAGTATATTTTTGTACTGGCAAAAGAGGTCCCATGATACAGAGCTTTCTCGTTAACAACAAAAAAATGTAACCCGTAAAAACAAAGTTTTTCACTATAAATCCTTTATATGCGTGGCGGCTAGAGTCCTCTCGTCCTCTGGCTTGAGGTGGTTGCCACCTATGGGTCAGATCATTGCCTTGCAGCATTAAGCAATTGGTAATTAAATATTTAAAAAAATCCTAAAAAGTGTAAAATTTAGCAAAAATTTTTTCACGAAAATGAATTGTCACGCACAACGAGTCTGTGTGGAAAATGTCAGCTCGATTGGATCACGGGAAGTGGGTTAAAAAACGATCGAAAGATTTGCACGGTCGTAAGCGCGCAAGCAAGCAAGCGAACTTAATATAAAGAATTTAAAAAATCAAGTGCCGTTCAAGTCCATCGGCCTGGAACAATGAGCTCCCCTAGTGGCGTTTGTAGCAACAGGCAAACCCCTGGACTGGCTTCCACTTCTCGGAGTCTTCATCAGCAGAGTGTGGCACCTGGTAAATGATGTTCGTGGCTGCTCCGCAGGTGAAGCTGGTGAACATCCGCAGTGATGACATCGTGGACGGAAACCCCAAGCTCATCCTGGGCCTCATCTGGACCATCATTGGTCACTTCCAGGTGAGCTCCGGCTGCATTGCCCTCACGTGTAATCCGTAGTAAAACGTTGGGGCTAACTTTGGTCCAACAGTTCCAACCACGGGCCCAACGTTGGCACATTTATTCGGCCAATGGCCAAATGAGCATTGCACCACCCGAGTTCCAATGACTGAAACGGCACACGACGCAGACAGTCCACCGGTCCTGGCCCAAGGCAGTCCACACACGACTCTAAGTAGGCAACACACGGCTCAAGGGAATCCACACACACCTCCAGGCAGTCGATCCTATCCTATTTAGAATGTATATAGCGCCCTTTCCAGGCAATACGCGAACACGTACACCCGACCTCGGCAGTATACGCGAGCGTATTTACCCATTGCATGGGCGCCAGTAATTCAGTAACGGAGTGCAAGGGGCCTGAAGCTCGCTGCTACTGCACCTTGCACTGCTGCACACAGCAACTCAAGCTGTGTGACTTCACGCACGAACCAGGTGCAACCCTTTTGCTTTGTAACCGGTAGCCGGAGACGGCTGTGACACTATGGGGGCCATCGGCGCTTGCCTGAAGGCAGCAAACACTCGTTCACGTCTATATTGTTGGTGGGGCAAAACTTTTTTTTTAATTAAAATGTGGTTTTCATGTTTAACCAGCTTTGACTAGATCCTTCAGCTATATTTGTGCCAAATTTAATCTCTCCAACCCAGTCTAGAAAGTCAGCCACTCCGTCGTGATCGATTACATGCAAATAAATAGAGCATCACATACAGACCATCGGTTCAATCCACTGCTGGATGAAGGCCTCCCCACACCGTGGTAGTCTTGGCAGTTGTTTACCCACGGGTTGGTGAAGGTGTGGGAGCATAGGAGTACTGTACTGTGCAGTACAACAATAGGGGTGCCACGGTGGGAAGATGTTATCTCCCTCGCCTGGTATACAGGAGAGCATGAGTTCGAACCCGACCTTGATGCTTGTATATTTGGAGTTTGCGCGTCTCTCTCCCCGTGGTCACGTGGGTATTTCTCTGGGTCCTCTAGTTTTTCCCTCCACATTTAAAATAAATGTGCGCATCGAGTATTTGGCTTTTATAAATTTCCACAGGACAAGCCACTTTGTTGAGCTATCATTTGTGGCCAGGTCACTTCTGAACAAGTATAACCCGTAAAAACAAAGTTTTTCACTCTAAATCCTTTATATGCGTGGGGGCTAGAGTCCTCTCGTCCTCTGGCTTGAGATGGCTGCCACCTATGGGTCAGATGATTGTCTGCCAGTATTAAGCAATTGGTAATTAAATATTTAATTAGTTTTCCCTAAACAGTGTAAAATTTTGGAATTTTTTTTCACGAACATTGTCTCGCACAACGAGTCTGTGTGCAAAATGTCAGCTCGATTGGATCACGGGAAGTGGGTTAAAAAACGACCAAAAGATTTGCACGGTCGTAAGCAAGCAAGCAAGCACGCAAGCAAGCGAGCGAACTTAATATAAAGGATTTAAAAAGAGCTGGAAAGCCCAGTGGGCCTTACTTTGTAAAATATTTTTTTTTGTTATTAAAAAATATATATATAGATTCTGCTGCACTGGCCTCTGTTGCCGTGGTGGAGTACCGGTTACGGAAGGATTGCGTGGAGGGGGAGTGGGGCAGGAACTGGCACTGAACTCAGCCATAACTGGGAAGCGAACTCGGATCGCCGGCTTCACAGCGCCGCGAGCTAACCACCGCGCCACGACTCCACCCGTCGCCATGTATGTTATTATAGGACAGAGGCAAAGACCCCCCCCCCCCCCACCCCTATAGCCTTTACAGACTCTTGGGGCAAGTGCTGTTCACGAGCACCGATGCAGCCCGGCACGAGACACGGCGGGCGGCTGGGTGTCCAGCATCACGCCTGACCGCCTTCGTCTTCCTAGTGGTGACGTTTACAGACCGCACCGTGTACTTTCAATTTAGTCTGAGTCGACCTAGGAGAGGCCCAGAAGAAACATCTCAGCTGTGTTGGCCGTGAGCGGCAATCGAACTCGGGTAGATGTTACATACACACAAACACACTCTTGAAGGAAGCTGTGATGGTGAAGGCGGGGAGAGAGTGCGTCAGCGTGGAAAGGCTCATTCTGTCAACCCAGTGACATGTCGCAGCAAAGGAGGCGTGGAAGCCCATCCCAGGGTGGCCAGTTTTTTGCGGTTTTGTAAAAAAAAATCTCTTCGGGGTTTTTATTTCTTTCCACCCATCCCCAGCCAGGTAATTTTGTCCATTTGTGCCGCGGCTGTCATAGCATTGATGCGGTGTTGAAGCTGGGCCTGGGTGTGGCAAGCCAGATGTCGGCAAACAAACCTAAAGAGAATGGCATCTTTATTCTTCCCCCTTTCAATTTTTTGGGGTAAAAAAAAAACAGTTATACATGTCTGGGTTTATTGGCTTCTGGCCAAACATATCATTTTCAACGGACGGAGATGTCCCCGTGTAGCATTGACAGACGTTTTGGAGAGAAGTGCTGTTAGCGAGTAAAATAAAAACGAAACTATTTTTTTACCAGACAAGGTCCACTGAGCTAAACAGCTCTTTTTAGAAGCGATCTCGCTGCAAATGATAGCTCAACGAAGTGGCTTATCACGTGGAAGTTTAAAGCAGCCAAACAATCTAAACGCATGGAGGAAAATCCAGGGGGTCCCGGAGAAAAATCCTAACGACCACGGGGAGAATATGCAAACTCCATATATACAGGCGTCAGGGTCGGAAACAAACCCACGGCCTCCTGCGTACTAGGCAAGGGAGATAACATTTCACCACCACGGCCATGAAGGCTGGATGGCATTTACATCCACACATCGCATTTACATCCACACACACACAGACACAACGCGTCTGCAGTGCTCCATGACTACCGCCGTGTGGAGGTAAGCATTTCACTCTCACTTAGCTCATCTTTAATCTCCCCGGCACTCATGCCCCAACCTCTCCCTTTTCTCATTTGGGAAAGTATTAAAAGGGCTCTCAGTGACAGCCGAACGTCGCCCGATCTTGTCCGGGAATTAACGTCAATTTGAGATGCCTGAGCGAGCTCACGTACCTTTACCAATCCACTGCTGGATGAGCGCCTCCCCTCATCCCGGACAGGGTATATTATTCGACTGCCCTTCACCAGCCTGCTGAGCCACAGTTGCTGAAGACAGCGGAGCGTGTACGTACGGTACGGTGCCACGGTTGATGTCGCTGCAATCGTCCTCTGCTGCCCACCACGTAGCCAGCCCCACAGCGGCCGGGGACAACCCGTTTGTGTATATGGCGGCCACCCACCCACCCAAGCCCTATCCTGGCACTATCCAGGCTCCCAAAATAAATTCCTGCTTAGCTTCCCACATGTGGCACACGCGCTCACACAGCAAGGGCCCGCATGGTGGTGGTGGTGGTAGTGGCAGTGGTGGTGGTAGTGGCGGTGGTGGTGGTAGTGGTGGCGGTGGTGGTGGTAGTGGCGGTGGTGGCGAGCCTGCGAGATCGCTCGCGTGGCTGCGCTTGCCCGTTGTCGGCGTCTATTGAGACGTAATCGCTGACGCCTCGGTGCCCTTGAGACAAACGCACGTTGACGCCCGGTTCGTCCGAGGGGGCTTCGCCCGCCGGACCCACCGGGCCACGGAAGCGGCGGCGGCGGCCGGCAGCGCACTCAGTCGGCATCCCATCAGCGCGACGCAATCGACGAAGCGGTTTTCTTTGGCTGTAGATTGTGGCGGCAATAAAGGGAATCTGTGTAAAAGCTAACAAACGACGTTAATGAGTGAACGGCACCGAGCCAACACGGGTTATTTGGGGTGTGGGGGGGCGGGTGTTGGTGAAAGAGCTCGTGTCGATCAAAGGTTGGTCTTGGTGTCGCTGTCACTCGTCGACGTTGAGGCTGTGAGAGCGGTGAGGCTGAGTTGAGCGGCGTGGGGCTGGGGAGAGCCGGCGGTGAGGTTTTGAGATGGGTGGTGGCGAGGCCTGCCCCGGACTGAGCCTGTGAGGCTTTGTCGGTGAGTTTTAGATGAGCGGTGAGACTGTGCGAGCGGTTGAGGGCTGGTGGATGGCTGGTTTGAGATGAGGCTGGGTTGGTAAGCGTTTGTTTGTGCGTGCGCATTGGGGAGCGGTAGTGTAGCGGTGAGCGTGCTGCCCTATGAACCCGCCGATCCGAGTTCGATTACCGCTCACGGCCAGTGCCGGTGATGAACATCTGAACCGGTCCTGCGCCTACACGAGGTCGACGCAGCCTCAAATGACGACCGGTGCGGTGCGTCAACGTCACCACTGGGGAGGTGTAGGCGCCTGATCTTATTGCTGACCACCCACCCCTTCGTGTGTGTCGCGTGGGCCTTCACAAGTTTGCTACTCGCTGACAAACCATCTGCCCCAACAGTCCGTTAAGGCTATACGGGGGTCGGGGGCAGTGCCAGATTAAGCTAGTGTGGGGCCTGTAGCATATGCTATAAAGGGGCTCTAAATAAAATAAAAACACGTAAATATTAATTGTAAAGTAATTGTATTTTTTCATTTACCATGAAGCCAGATAATACGACAAATCGCTAACCTTAAACACCCAGTCGTTCATAAAAATTGAAGGCACTATAGTACTATAGTAATAGAGCAAGTGCAGAATTACTGAACCGGAATTGATAGCTTGAAAGCATTTAGCGCGGTGCCCTTGAAAATGCGGGGCCCGTAGCTACTACTGCATATGTAGCTACTTTTGCTGCTAGGCTAATCCGGCACTGGTCGGGGCATCTTTGTCTTTGTGTGCGGCGCCACGCAGGTGCCGGACGTGAGTGTGGGCGAGGAGCACACGGCGCTCCGTGCCGAAGACAAACTTCTGCTGTGGGTGCGCGGCGCCATCGCGGGCACCCCAGGGCTCGTGTGCAACGACTTCACGAGCTCGTGGCGCGACGGACGCGTATTCTGCGCCCTCCTGCGCTCGCACCTGTGAGTGACCGCGCGGGCAACACACAGGGCACACAAGCGCTGCGTCCCCGGGGCATGCACGCTATGCCCTTGGGGCATGCACGCTATACCCCTAGGACATACACACTGCGCCCCCCTGGCATGCACGCTATGCCCCCAGCACATGCACGCTATGCCCCCAGCACATGCACGCTATGCCCACAGCACATGCACGCTATGCCCACAGCACATGCACGCTATGCCCTCGGGGCATGCACGCTATACCCCCAGGACATACACACTGTGCCCCCAAGGCATGCACGCTATGCCCCCAGGGCATGAACGTTGCGTCCCTAGAGCATGCACGTTGCACACGCAGGGCATGCATGCAACACACGCAGATTCTAGTGACAGTGAATTTCGCGTGTTTGTGGCAGTGGTATTGTCGTTCTGGTGGTGCATTGGTAATGTCGTTTGTTTGTTGTAGCGATCGTGAAGTGACATGTTTGTGGTCGGGGTTGTCTCGTGCTAGCAGTGGTTCGTGCACTGCGCTACAAACGAGGAAAACTGAGTTAAATACCTGACCACGGCTAACATAAGTGGCGAATATCCGAACCGATTCTTGGCATCCCCTAGGTTGACTCAACCTTAAATGTACACCTCAGTGTGGTGTGTGATCGTCAGCACTGATGTGCCAGTCTTAATAGATGTCTGCTCACATCAGCTGCCCCAATAATTTTTCTTGGGGCCATGGTGGCGAGATGTTAACTACCTCGCCTGGTATACAGGAGGTCATGGATTCGATCCCGACCCTGACGCCTGCTGCTGTATATTTGCAGTTTGTATGTTTTCTCCGTGGCCGCCTGCATTTTTCTCCAGATCCTCCGGTTTTTCCCTCCATATTTGGAATCGACGTCACGCGTTTTGAGTATTTGGCTGCTATAAATGTCCACGTAACAAGCCACTTTGTTGAGCTATCATTTGTGGCCAGGTCACTTCTGAAAAAGAGCTGTATATCCCAGTGGGCCTTACTTTGTCAAATAAATAAAATATTGTTATTTAAAAAAATATATATATATAGATTATGCTGCACTGGCCTCTGTTGCCGTGGTGGAGTGCCGGTTATAGAAGGACTGCGTGGAGGGGGGAGTGGGGAAGGAACTGGTCCGGATATCACTCGGCACTGAACTCGGCCATGACTGGGAAGCGAACTTGTAATTTTTTCTGAAGATTGCCGCGAGGCTGTGGTTGTTGGGGGGAATTGCAGCGCCCAGCCTCGTGATGATGTCTGCTGTGATTTTTGCTTGGCACAGCGACCGATGTGATAACGGATTCCAGGGGATTCAGCAATGGACTTTACTCCGATGTTCGCGACGATCATGCTGATGAGGTCATGCTGATGAGGTCATGCAGATGATGCTTCAAAAGATGACGGAATTATGACAAGTTAAATCATTAGTTTCTTAAACGTCGCGAACATAATTCGTGTGGAGGTAATGGGTTGGCTTTTTTTTATAGTGTAAAGTAATTCTTGAAATTGCTCCATCGAATGGAAAATTACACATTGCTTGCAGGGTTGCGATTTCCGCATGGAAAATGCGGAAGGAGGGTTCAAATTTTCCCGCATTTTTGCTAAAGTCAACCGCAAACGGTGGAAAGACTACTCCTATGACCGCGCGCTTTTAACAACACGTTAATGCGTTCTATTGGAAAGGATACATGCAAGGCCCAGCATCACGTAGGGCTTTGAGTTACTGATTGGAATGAATATATGATTTCCGCATTTCCGCACAAGAACCACATACTTTATTCAAATGCGGAGCCGTGATTACGAGCACATGTACATGATGTATCCTTTCCAATAGAACGCATTAACGTGTTGTTAAAAGCGCGCGGTCATAGGAGTAGTCTTTCCACCGTTTGCGGTTGACTTTAGCAAAAATGCGGGAAAATTTGAACCCTCCTTCCGCATTTTCCATGCGGAAATCGCAACCCTGATTGCTTGGCCTTTCTATCGAAAATATGCGCAAAGGTTGGAGCACATGGCCTTCAATATGAACAATGCGTGTTCAAAGTCTGGGCTTGAGTCAACTCAGCCCATCATACCAATGTGTTGGGGGGTCAAATAAAACAAGTTTTCCATTGTATAAAGCAACAGTGGTTGTCCGATAGTGATACATTGCCTTGTTTATAATTCAAATACACAATTGTTAAGTTGACTCAGGCAATGAATTGTGGCATTTTTACGCCAGTGACTGTAAACCGACAATGAGTTAAAACCCATGATCAGTTTGGTGTGGAAGCCACATTTGCTACGTTCTCACAATCAATGTAAAGCAGACCGGCTCAGTTCATAAACCGGGCCAATGTGCTCAGTCTGGCATCCCACAGTAGCCTAACCTGGCCAGGCCAGTCCAAACTCGGCCACATGATGGTTCACTTCCTTAAAGGAACTGCACACCTGGGCCGCCCCGAAAAACCAGTGGTGATGTCACGGGGTCAACATGGAAGAGAGAGATTCATGATCAATGGCGTCTCCTACTTAGGTCAACTTCCGTGTTATGTTTTGTTTTACCAAAAAAGTGTAAAAACATAAATATGTTTTAGATTGGAGTTTGTGGCCTAGCACACCCCTTTAACTAACCTACTGTGAACCCAGTAACCTGAGTTTGATTCTCAGCCATGGCTAATTTCGGTGGCGTGTGATATCTGCATCCGGTCCTGGGCTCACCCTTTGTCAACGCACACTAACCAGTCTTATATTACCTTAAAGGAATTTATTTAGCGTCTTAACTAAGGCGCTTTAGAAATAATTAACAACGGCGCATATAAATGCCACAGTGGAGATGAGGTGAATGCAATAGATGAGTGGAAGCAATGGGGACGAATCTGTGCATCTGTGACGATGTGTGAACTCAGTGATAAACGGATTGAATGAATTGAGAATGAGTGAGAGCTGTATAATGAGAATATGAAGAGGGAGCAGTAACGGGGGTGGTTATGAGGGGGAGATTAAAGGGGTCGTGGGAGGAGCTAGGGAAAATAAGTGAGTTTTGAGTGAGGAGCGGAAACTAGTGAGTGAAACTGACTGTTTAATGTGGGAAGTTATGGTCAAACATCCCCGCCATGGCCAAAACAGCATCGGAAGGACACCAGCGGTAGGTTGACAAAGAGATTGGGATCATCTTTTTTTGTTCTTGGAGGGGCTGATGGAACCAAGGACTTGGGGGCCCACGTGGCTCTTGAAGCGTTGGGGGTCCAGGAAACGGGTTCCGTGGGGGGCCATGTCCAGTTCCGTGGGGGGCCATACCTAACAATGGCCTGGCGTGGCTCGGCTCAGCTCCCAGTGGCCGTGGAAACGCGGCATTCGACCTTTGTGTTTCGTTCTCAGGCCAAAGGCCGTGGACCTCGACCAGCTGTCTCGGAGGAACGTTCACGAGAGGCTGGAGTTCGCCTTCTCCCAGGCAGAGCAGCACTTGGGCGTACCCAGAATCCTCGACGTCGAAGGTAAGCGCATGGCATCTAAACACGGCGGCGGCGGCGGTACCAGCGTGGCTCTCTCTCGAGTCGCGCAGGCGGTGCGACTGCGCCGGGGAGCACTGAGCTGGAGGGGCCCCACGAGCCGGGTCATGGGGAGGGTGGCGAATCAGACAGGAGGGGTCCCTATTTAATTACTTAGCCACCGGTCAAACAATGGATCTTTATTCATACAGCGCACTGCACATCAATAAAGGTGCATCGGCATGCTTTAGATGAAATTCAATTGACATGAATGCCCAATATGTAGAATATACAAAACGTAAGACATTTCGTTTCAAAGTAGCAGTGCAATGTATCGCAGGCAATATTCAATAAAAACACCTATACATATATGTCTTTATGTATATCATTAACAAACTAGAATACTCAACACATTGAGTTTTCAGGCAATGGCCCTGCTTGCTATGAGGAAGGGACATTGCCCGAAACATCGCCAATTATACAGGGTTCCTTGTTCGGCCGCTGTGTTATTGACAAACGTGTTGAATTATTGTTTTGTTCATTGTGCTTTGTGCACCGCTGCCAATGGAGCATCACCAAATGCTATCGATGTTTCATCATGAAAACCGGGGTAATACAATTTAGGAAACACACAGTAGAAGCAGATACCCAACTTTCCTCGTGTATTTGTACTCAATTACAGATGCCCGAAAGAGGTGTTTCATATATATTTATGAAAAGTATCTGCTCCTCTGATGTTTACGTGGAGATCGTTCCATTACGATGCAGCCAGACAGCTGAAGGAACGCCAATCAAAAGTCATGTATCGGAAGCGAGGAACTACAAAGTATAATAATAGGGCTTTTTCCCCTTGTTTCTGGCAACAAAACTGAAACCTTTTTACAAGGAATCATGTGTGCATTAACCACAATACTTGTGGTCAAAATGCAAACAAAAAACACACTCTGATAATATATGCAGTTTTGTTGCCAGAAAAAAAAGGGGAAAACCCCTATTATTATATTTTGGTACTGGCCAAGGAGGTCTAATGATGTAGAACTACAAACTACAAAGTAGTTCTGGGTCTAAAGACATCTGGCAGGGACGTAGATCTGCGCCCACGTGAACCATGCTACGCGACTAGCAATGCATGTTCACACACATGCTCACACATTAATTATAGATTTGAAGCTTTCGTGACTGCAAGGATTCATACTCTTAGTTTTTTCAGGTAAAGTCACGTAGGTAAAAAATGAAATTAAAATTAATAAAAATAAAATACATGTCCATGCCAGGCAGGTCTTTTACACACGTAGCTGAAGATCGATGATGATGATGATGATGATGATACCTAGATCCAGTGGCCAAGGTGATGGTATTAGTTCGGTAGACAATAGGTCACTCTTAACAGATGGACAGCGTGAAGGCTACCATCTCACTCCCAGGCAGGTAGTGTGCATCAACTTAGCATGTGGCGTGGACAGTATCAGTGCTTAAGGTTAAACGCACAATGGAATAAAGGCATTGCCCTTAATTTAACTCAAGTATAAAACACAGTACGTGTTCACAGTATCACGATACAAAAGAAGCAAATTGCTATGCATAGCAACGAAACAATATCTCTGTTATGAAAATTAGATTGGAGAAAGAAAAATATGAAGGTAAATGGAGAGAAGATGAATCATCTCACATTTGACTCCTCAGCCATCGAATGCGCTTTAATCCATCTCATTGTGTTGTCATTGAACGTGTGGAGGATTAATCAACTCACTCTTTACAGTAACAGTTAGGTTTAACAACCGATGAAAATCATCTGCAGGGAAACGAGAGAAATTAGTAATAATTCACGAGCAACAGGTTTGTTGAAAAGAGGAACTCTTTGAAGGAACACAACTAGAACACAACAGAATATGTCTACATACTGAAATTTGCTGACCGCTTCAAAATGTATGAAGTCACGAGGCTGGTGAAAGAATTTTGGAAAAATTCGCCAGCAACATATATACTCATATGCCTCAAGTAGAAAACTATGAATTCGTGAATGTTACCTGCTGTGACATGGGATCAGAAACATGGACTCTGACAAACACCGTAGATCAAAATCTAAACAGCGTGCAAAGAAACAAAAGATTCACGGTGGGAATAGACTTCGAGAAAAAAAGAGGAACACATAAATGCAATTTAAAGACATATTGACAGCGAAGAAAAGTAGTAAGTGCGCTTGGGCAGGACCCATCGCTCGAAGGAATGATGGCCAATGACAGGACTGCTGACGGAGCAGAAGCCAAAGGAGGAAATGTGCCCGAAAGGATGATCACCGTGGAAATGGAGCAATCACATCGGTTCATGTGCAGGAGATGTATCGATTGTATCTGACAACTTAGGAAGGCCTCCAGGTGTTCCAGAGTGGACCATGGGTGAAACATTACAACTGATGGTGATATGATGATGAGTAGGATAGATGGTAATGAATAACAAAGAAAAAACGCGACACTTATACAGCTGACAAGATGTTGTCTCTTTTCGTATGACGTAAATTATTCTGCATTGTATAAGTGACCGGTGTTTTTTTTTATTGATTTTCAGTTCTAATTCAGAGCTTTCTTGTATGTTTTAGATGTCGATGTCCCAACGCCGGATTCGAAGTCAATTATGACTTACGTCTCCTTGCTCTACACAGCCTTCCAGAAGGTATGCAAACTGAAAACACCCTCTGGCTGTGATTTATAGAGTGTATCTCATAACAGATAGCTGCAGTGGGAAATATGGGGTAATCCATTAATATAGATAACCCACTAAAATACTGGTGATGCAGGGCAACGTGGTGGTGAGATGTTAACTACCTCGCCTGGTATACAGGAGGTCGTGGGTTCGATCCCGACCCTGACGCCTGCTGCTGTATATTTGGAGTCTGCGTCTCTCTCTCTCTTCATCATCATCATCACGGTGGCTAGGAGATGTTCACTACCTCGCCTGGTATACAGGAGGTCGTGGGTTCAATCCCAACTCTTGACGCCTGCATATTCGGAGTTTGCGTGTCTCTCTCTGTGGTCAAGTGGATTTTTATCCGGGTCCTCCGGTTTTTCCCCTCCACATTTAGAATCAATATGCGTTTAGAACAGTGGTTCTTAAATTGGATGCACAAATCCCTTGGGGGTGCGACATGCCCTTTCTGGGAGTGCGAGACATACCAGAATTTTTGAGAAGGCAAATAATCGAAAACACAAATAAATCATGGGCACATAATTGCCACAACTTTGTTTCATAAAACCTATGTATTTATTAACATTATACGTTTATTATTTTTACAATTGAGAACCAAATGGGTCTAGGATACAGTACAAGTTAAGAACCACTGGTTTAGAGTATTTGGCTGCTATAAATATCCACACGATGATAAACCCACTTTGTTGAGCTATGATTTGTGGCCAAGTCGCTTCTGAAAAAGAGCTGTATAGCTCAGTGGGCTTGACTTGTTAAAATAAAAATAGTTAATAGTTTACAAAAACTTAAAATTGTATTCAAATCCTCTGCATGACGTCCACTTATTCGATCCTTTGATACTTTCCCGATCCACTTTGTCTAACCTCATCAGCCCGGTTTGCTTACATCATTTCATTACACGTACGTCAAAGTTATTGCTATTTTGCATTTGTGAGACTTGTGTAAACCACCGATCTGTGAATCTTCATCCATGCCATCATATATCTGCTCTGTTCCCCTGCAACATATAGAGTTGTTGCTTTCACAATATTCAAACACCTGTTGGGAAGAGAGTAAGAGGATCATGAAACAATAAGTGGGGATTGTATAAACGGATAACCCTGTATACAGCACATGGATTGTAAATAACATGTACCTTTTGTAACTTCCACTCCTTGTAAGTCAGAATGCGCCGTGGTGGCGAGATGTTATCTCCCTCACCTGGTATACAGAAGGTCGTGGGTTCGGTCCCCGGTTTTTCCCTCCACATTTAGAAACGTGTGTTTAGATCATTTGGTTGCTATAAATTTCCACGTGATAAGCCACTACATTAAGCTAATATTTGTCGCCAACTCAGTGGGCTTCATCTGGTAAATAAAATAGTAGTAAATAATAGTTCACCAGGGTTAATTAGTATTGGGTCATCTCCAAAACTTGTTTTCACACCGAGAGCGAGACAGTGGAGTCAGCTGAACGAGGTACTTAGTGTGGCAATCAAACAGGTTAATAATGTGTTTTGTAATGTATTTGCAGAAAATCAAAGAGGAAGAGGCTGAAAAAAGTGCAAGTACCAAAGGACTCAGCTTGTCAGAAATTGAAGTTATTTTAAAGAACACAAAACAGAACGTGGGTTCCAAAGCGGAACCCAAGTCCCTGTGGGATCTGCTCCACTCGGAATATTTCAGTGAAGACGACAGACGCAAACTCATTGAGGATTTCCGGCTGGGAAAGCTGACACTCGAAAAGATGTCTCAAGCCGTCTTGACGAACGTGCAGATGAAGCAGAGAGAAAATGTCAAGTTCAGAGGCCTTAGGCGAGAGGTGTCTCTCAAGCTTCTTGTCGACTCGCACATTGTGGACGACAAAACAGCGAACGAGGTTGTTGAAGGCTCTAAATCAGTTTCTGAAATCACCAAAACCATCGACCGCTACTTAGGAAGTTCTAAGAGCATTGCTGGGCTGTACATCGAAAAAACCCAAGAAAAGATTCCACTTTACAAAGCCATGGTGAAAAGAATGTTACGCCCAGGGACCACTCTGGAACTCTTGGAGGCACAAGCTGCCACTGGCTTCTTGATAGACCCAGTGGAATGACCTCAAGATGTCTGTGGAGGATGCCGTGGACAAGGGGCTCGTAGGGTACGATTTTAAGGATAAGCTTTTGTCTGCAGAGCGTGCGGTGACAGGATACACGGACCCGGTTACTAAGAAAACTATTTCCCTGTTCCAAGCGATGGATAAAGATCTAATACTTAAGAGCCATGGAATCCGCCTCCTGGAAGCTCAAATCGCCACAGGTGGAATCATCGACCCACAGGCCAGCCATCGTCTTCCAGTGGAAGTGGCCTACAGCCGAGGACTGTTTGATGAGGAGATGAACCAAATATTGGCTGACCCCAGTGACGACACCAAGGGCTTTTTTGATCCAAACACTGAAGAGAACCTCACTTATTTAGAATTGATGCAACGTTGCATCACTGACCCTGACACAGGTTTATGCTTGCTACCTTTGAAGGAAAAAGGTAACAAGTTTGGGATTGTCAGTTCAGGTGATGGTCTGAAACTAATCCAATCAAACATTGTTCAAAGTGCCCAGATCGAAACTTCTTCCCATACCACAACGATAAAAATAACTACAATCACGTTAACAGAAGAGGAAGTTTGGAAAAAACTTCAAAATGCATATATTGACATAACCTTTGGGAAGTTTTCTGGAAAGAGGTTGTCAATTAAAGAGTTATTTGAAACAGATCTCATTGATGAAGTCACCAAAAGGCAACTACTAGACGACTTCAGATCTGGCAAAATTTCATTTGAGAAACTAATGATCACAATTACTGAAATAATTGAGCGACAGAAGCAAAGTGAAAAGAGTAGAAGCATTTCTACAACAATTACAACGACCACTACGACCACACTTACAGAAGTAGAAATTTGGAACAAACTTCAAAATTCATATATTGAAATATCCTTTGGGAAGTTCTCTGGAAAGAAGCTGTCACTAAAAGAGATATTTGAAACAGATCTCATTGATGAAGCCACGAAAAAGCAACTACTAGACGACTTCAGATCTGGCAAAATTTCATTTGAGAAACTAATGATCACAATTACTGAAATAATTGAACGACAGAAGCAAAGTGAAAAGGGTAGAAACATTTCATTTAAGGGGCTGCGGAAGCCAGTGTCTCTAGAAGAACTAGTCAAATCAAAACTCTTGGACAGTAAAACGGTAGACCAGTTGATGCAAGGCTTAAAATCAGAGGAAGAAGTTAGGCGGTCAATACAAACCTACCTTGGCGGATCGACGGCTATTGCTGGAGTGTACATTGAAGCAGCAAAGGAAAAAATGTCCATATACAATGCCTTGAAGAAAGGTTATTTGAGGCCAGGAACCAGTTTGGTTTTGCTCGAAGCGCAGGCAGCTACAGGGTTCATTGTTGATCCCATCAACAACTTGAAACTGTCAGTGGATGAGGCAGTGGAACAGAATGTAGTGGGATGGGATTACAAAGACAAACTCCTTTCAGCAGAGCGAGCTGTCACTGGGTACACTGATCCGTACTCTAAAGAAACAATCTCACTCTTCCAAGCTATGAAAAAGGAACTCATCTTAAAAGACCATGGGATCCGGCTCCTGGAAGCTCAAATCGCCACAGGTGGCATCATTGACCCGCAGGCCAGCCATCGTCTTCCAGTGGAAGTGGCCTACAGCCGAGGACTGTTTGATGAGGAGATGAACCAAATATTGTCCGACCCCAATGATGACACTAAAGGTTTCTTTGATCCAAACACTCAGGAGAACCTCACGTATTTAGACCTCAAGAATCGCTGCATCACCGAACCAGAGACTGGACTGTGTTTGCTGCCAATTAAAGACAAGAACTCAAAAACAAAGACACTCATTGTCACCAGTGAAAACGTGCAGACTGATAGTCAAGGAAAAAATAAATCCAATAATGGTGTAGATCTTAAGATGGAGAAATCTGAGGTGGTTTCAAGTGGGGTCCCACGTATTGTCCAGGAAAGTGAAATGTTGGACACGTTCACAAAGTCAACGGTTACGATCAAGAGTGGAAAATTTGCCAACAGAAAAATGTCTTTACTGGAAATATTTGAGACTGATCTGGTTGATAAAGAAAGGAAAGAGAAATTAATAAATGATTATAAAACTGGAAAGATTTCTCAGGAGATTTTGCTCATCATGATAATTGAAATAATTGAGACAGATAGAATGAGTGAAAAAATGAAAAACATGAAATTTAAAGGACTACGAAAGCAGGTGACATTGGATGAGCTATTCAAGTCAAAAATTGTGGACATGAAAACCGTCCAACAACTGGATGATGGTGAGAAAACTCAGGATGAAGTGGGAAGTTCTATACTAAACTATCTAGAAGGATCAACTGCTATTGCTGGCCTATACAATGAAGCAACCAAAGAAAAAATGTCCATATACAATGCCTTGAAGAAGGGTTATTTGAGGCCAGGAACCAGCTTGGTTTTGCTAGAAGCACAGGCAGCTACAGGGTTCATTGTTGATCCCATCAACAACTTGAAACTGTCAGTGGATGAAGCGGTAGAACAGAAAGTAGTGGGATGGGATTACAAAGACAAACTCCTTTCAGCAGAGCGAGCTGTCACTGGGTACACTGATCCGTACTCTAAAGAAACACTCTCACTCTTCCAGGCTATGAAGAAGGGCCTCATCTTGAAAGACCACGGCATCCGCCTCCTGGAAGCTCAAATCGCCACAGGGGGCATCATCGATCCGCAAGCCAGCCATCGTCTTCCAGTGGAAGTGGCCTACAGCAGAGGACTGTTTGATGAGGAAATGAACCAAATATTGGCCGACCCCAGTGATGACACCAAGGGCTTTTTTGATCCAAACACTGAAGAGAACCTCACATATTTAGATCTCAAGCAGCGCTGCATCATTGACCCTGACACAGGTCTATGCTTGCTATCTCTGAAGGAAAAACGATCCAAGTTTGGGAACATCAGTTCAGGTGATGTTCCAAAAATAGTTGAATCAAAGACTGTTCAGAGTGCTCAGATTGGAACATCGTCTCAAACTACAACAATTACAACGACCACTACGACCACACTTACAGAAGTAGAACTTTGGAACAAACTTCAAAATTCATATATTGAAATATCCTTAGGCAAGTTCTCTGGAAAGAAGATGTCACTAAAAGAGTTATTTGAAACAGATCTCATTGATGAAGCCACGAAAAAGCAACTACTAGACGACTTTAGATCTGGCAAAATTTCATTTGAGAAACTAATGATCATAATTACTGAAATAATTGAGCGACAGAAGCAAAGTGAAAAGAGTAGAAGCATTTCTACAACAATTACAACGACCACTACGACCACACTTACAGAAGTAGAAATTTGGAACAAACTTCAAAATTCATATATTGAAATATCCTTTGGGAAGTTCTCTGGAAAGAAGCTGTCACTAAAAGAGTTATTTGAAACAGATCTCATTGATGAAGCCATGAAAAAGCAACTTCTAGACGACTTCAGATCTGGAAAAATTTCATTTGAGAAACTAATGATCATAATTACTGAAATAATTGAACGACAGAAGCAAAGTGAAAAGGGTAGAAACATTTCATTTAAGGGGCTGCGGAAGCCAGTGTCTCTAGAAGAACTGGTCAAATCAAAACTCTTGGACAGTAAAACGGTAGACCAGTTGATGCAAGGCCTAAAATCAGAGGAAGAAGTTAGGCGGTCAATACAAACCTACCTTGGCGGATCGACGGCTATTGCTGGAGTGTACATTGAAGCAGCAAAGGAAAAAATGTCCATATACAATGCCTTGAAGAAAGGTTATTTGAGGCCAGGAACCAGTTTGGTTTTGCTCGAAGCGCAGGCAGCTACAGGGTTCATTGTTGATCCCATCAACAACTTGAAACTGTCAGTGGATGAGGCAGTGGAACAGAATGTAGTGGGATGGGATTACAAAGACAAACTCCTTTCAGCAGAGCGAGCTGTCACTGGGTACACTGATCCGTACTCTAAAGAAACAATCTCACTCTTCCAGGCCATGAAAAAGGAACTCATCTTAAAAGACCATGGGATCCGGCTCCTGGAAGCTCAAATCGCCACAGGTGGCATCATTGACCCGCAGGCCAGCCATCGTCTTCCAGTGGAAGTGGCCTACAGCCGAGGACTGTTTGATGAGGAGATGAACCAAATATTGTCCGACCCCAATGATGACACGAAAGGTTTCTTTGATCCAAACACTCAGGAGAACCTCACGTATTTAGACCTCAAGAATCGCTGCATCACCGAACCAGAGACTGGACTGTGTTTGCTGCCAATTAAAGACAAGAACTCAAAAACAAAGACACTCATTGTCACCAGTGAAAACGTGCAGACTGATAGTCAAGGAAAAAATAAATCCAATAATGGTGTAGATCTTAAGATGGAGAAATCTGAGGTGGTTTCAAGTGGGGTCCCACGTATTGTCCAGGAAAGTGAAATGTTGGACACGTTCACAAAGTCAACGGTTACGATCAAGAGTGGAAAATTTGCCAACAGAAAAATGTCTTTACTGGAAATATTTGAGACTGATCTGGTTGATAAAGAAAGGAAAGAGAAATTAATAAATGATTATAAAACTGGAAAGATTTCTCAGGAGATTTTGCTCATCATGATAATTGAAATAATTGAGACAGATAGAATGAGTGAAAAGATGAAAAACATGAAATTTAAAGGACTACGAAAGCAGGTGACATTGGATGAGCTATTCAAGTCAAAAATTGTGGACATGAAAACCGTCCAACAACTGGATGATGGTGAGAAAACTCAGGATGAAGTGGGAAGTTCTATACTAAACTATCTAGAAGGATCAACTGCTATTGCTGGCCTATACAATGAAGCAACCAAAGAAAAAATGTCCATATACAATGCCTTGAAGAAGGGTTATTTGAGGCCAGGAACCAGCTTGGTTTTGCTAGAAGCACAGGCAGCTACAGGGTTCATTGTTGATCCCATCAACAACTTGAAACTGTCAGTGGATGAAGCGGTAGAACAGAAAGTAGTGGGATGGGATTACAAAGACAAACTCCTTTCAGCAGAGCGAGCTGTCACTGGGTACACTGATCCGTACTCTAAAGAAACACTCTCACTCTTCCAGGCTATGAAGAAGGGCCTCATCTTGAAAGACCACGGCATCCGCCTCCTGGAAGCTCAAATCGCCACAGGGGGCATCATCGATCCGCAAGCCAGCCATCGTCTTCCAGTGGAAGTGGCCTACAGCAGAGGACTGTTTGATGAGGAAATGAATCAAATATTGGCCGACCCCAGTGATGACACCAAGGGCTTTTTTGATCCAAACACTGAAGAGAACCTCACATATTTAGATCTCAAGCAGCGCTGCATCATTGACCCTGACACAGGTCTATGCTTGCTATCTCTGAAGGAAAAACGAACCAAGTTTGGGAACATCAGTTCAGGTGATGTTCCAAAAATAGTTGAATCAAAGACTGTTCAGAGTTCTCAGATTGGAACATCGTCCCAAACTACAACAATTACAACGACCACTACAACCACACGTACAGAAGTAGAAATTTGGAACAAACTTCAAAATTCATATATTGAAATATCCTTTGGGAAGTTCTCTGGAAAGAAGCTGTCACTAAAAGAGTTATTTGAAACAGATCTCATTGATGAAGCCACGAAAAAGCAACTTCTAGACGACTTCAGATCTGGAAAAATTTCATTTGAGAAACTAATGATCATAATTACTGAAATAATTGAACGACAGAAGCAAAGTGAAAAGGGTAGAAACATTTCATTTAAGGGGCTGCGGAAGCCAGTGTCTCTAGAAGAACTGGTCAAATCAAAACTCTTGGACAGTAAAACGGTAGACCAGTTGATGCAAGGCCTAAAATCAGAGGAAGAAGTTAGGCGGTCAATACAAACCTACCTTGGCGGATCGACGGCTATTGCTGGAGTGTACATTGAAGCAGCAAAGGAAAAAATGTCCATATACAATGCCTTGAAGAAAGGTTATTTGAGGCCAGGAACCAGTTTGGTTTTGCTCGAAGCGCAGGCAGCTACAGGGTTCATTGTTGATCCCATCAACAACTTGAAACTGTCAGTGGGTGAGGCAGTGGAACAGAAAGTAGTAGGATGGGATTACAAAGACAAACTCCTTTCAGCAGAGCGAGCTGTCACTGGGTACACAGATCCGTACTCTAAAGAAACAATCTCACTCTTCCAGGCCATGAAAAAGGAACTCATCTTAAAAGACCATGGGATCCGGCTCCTGGAAGCTCAAATCGCTACTGGTGGCATCATTGACCCGCAGGCCAGCCATCGTCTTCCAGTGGAAGTGGCCTACAGCCGAGGACTGTTTGATGAGGAGATGAACCAAATATTGTCCGACCCCAATGATGACACTAAAGGTTTCTTTGATCCAAACACTCAGGAGAACCTCACGTATTTAGACCTCAAGAATCGCTGCATCACCGAACCAGAGACTGGACTGTGTTTGCTGCCAATTAAAGACAAGAACTCAAAAACAAAGACACTCATTGTCAGCAGTGAAAACGTGCAGACTGATAGTCAAGGAAAAAATAATCCAATAATGGTGTAGATCTTAAGATGGAGAAATCTGAGGTGGTTTCAAGTGGGGTCCCACGTATTGTCCAGGAAAGTGAAATGTTGGACACGTTCACAAAGTCAACGGTTACGATCAAGAGTGGAAAATTTGCCAACAGAAAAATGTCTTTACTGGAAATATTTGAGACTGATCTGGTTGATAAAGAAAGGAAAGAGAAATTAATAAATGATTATAAAACTGGAAAGATTTCTCAGGAGATTTTGCTCATCATGATAATTGAAATAATTGAGACAGATAGAATGAGTGAAAAGATGAAAAACATGAAATTTAAAGGACTACGAAAGCAGGTGACATTGGATGAGCTATTCAAGTCAAAAATTGTGGACATGAAAACCGTCCAACAACTGGATGATGGTGAGAAAACTCAGGATGAAGTGGGAAGTTCTATACTAAACTATCTAGAAGGATCAACTGCTATTGCTGGCCTATACAATGAAGCAACCAAAGAAAAAATGTCCATATACAATGCCTTGAAGAAGGGTTATTTGAGGCCAGGAACCAGCTTGGTTTTGCTAGAAGCACAGGCAGCTACAGGGTTCATTGTTGATCCCATCAACAACTTGAAACTGTCAGTGGATGAAGCGGTAGAACAGAAAGTAGTGGGATGGGATTACAAAGACAAACTCCTTTCAGCAGAGCGAGCTGTCACTGGGTACACTGATCCGTACTCTAAAGAAACACTCTCACTCTTCCAGGCTATGAAGAAGGGCCTCATCTTGAAAGACCACGGCATCCGCCTCCTGGAAGCTCAAATCGCCACAGGGGGCATCATCGATCCGCAAGCCAGCCATCGTCTTCCAGTGGAAGTGGCCTACAGCAGAGGACTGTTTGATGAGGAAATGAATCAAATATTGGCCGACCCCAGTGATGACACCAAGGGCTTTTTTGATCCAAACACTGAAGAGAACCTCACATATTTAGATCTCAAGCAGCGCTGCATCATTGACCCTGACACAGGTCTATGCTTGCTATCTCTGAAGGAAAAACGAACCAAGTTTGGGAACATCAGTTCAGGTGATGTTCCAAAAATAGTTGAATCAAAGACTGTTCAGAGTTCTCAGATTGGAACATCGTCCCAAACTACAACAATTACAACGACCACTACAACCACACTTACAGAAGTAGAAATTTGGAACAAACTTCAAAATTCATATATTGAAATATCCTTTGGGAAGTTCTCTGGAAAGAAGATGTCACTAAAAGAGTTATTTGAAACAGATCTCATTGATGAAGCCACGAAAAAGCAACTACTAGACGACTTCAGATCTGGCAAAATTTCATTTGAGAAACTAATGATCATAATTACTGAAATAATTGAACGACAGAAGCAAAGTGAAAAGGGTAGAAACATTTCATTTAAGGGGCTGCGGAAGCCAGTGTCTCTAGAAGAACTGGTCAAATCAAAACTCTTGGACAGTAAAACGGTAGACCAGTTGATGCAAGGCCTAAAATCAGAGGAAGAAGTTAGGCGGTCAATACAAACCTACCTTGGCGGATCGACGGCTATTGCTGGAGTGTACATTGAAGCAGCAAAGGAAAAAATGTCCATATACAATGCCTTGAAGAAAGGTTATTTGAGGCCAGGAACCAGCTTGGTTTTGCTCGAAGCGCAGGCAGCTACAGGGTTCATTGTTGATCCCATCAACAACTTTAAACTGTCAGTGGATGAGGCAGTGGAACAGAATGTAGTGGGATGGGATTACAAAGACAAACTCCTTTCAGCAGAGCGAGCTGTCACTGGGTACACTGATCCGTACTCTAAAGAAACAATCTCACTCTTCCAGGCCATGAAAAAGGAACTCATCTTAAAAGACCATGGGATCCGGCTCCTGGAAGCTCAAATCGCTACTGGTGGCATCATTGACCCGCAGGCCAGCCATCGTCTTCCAGTGGAAGTGGCCTACAGCCGAGGACTGTTTGATGAGGAGATGAACCAAATATTGTCCGACCCCAATGATGACACTAAAGGTTTCTTTGATCCAAACACTCAGGAGAACCTCACGTATTTAGACCTCAAGAATCGTTGCATCACCGAACCAGAGACTGGACTGTGTTTGCTGCCAATTAAAGACAAGAACTCAAAAACAAAGACACTCATTGTCACCAGTGAAAACGTGCAGACTGACAGTCAAGGAAAAAATGAATCCAATAATGGTGTAGATCTTAAGATGGAGAAATCAGAGGTGGTTTCAAGTGGGGTCCCACGTATTGTCCAGGAAAGTGAAATGTTGGACACGTTCACAAAGTCAACGGTTACGATCAAGAGTGGAAAATTTGCCAACAGAAAAATGTCTTTACTGGAAATATTTGAGACTGATCTGGTTGATAAAGAAAGGAAAGAGAAATTAATAAATGATTATAAAACTGGAAAGATTTCTCAGGAGATTTTGCTCATCATGATAATTGAAATAATTGAGACAGATAGAATGAGTGAAAAGATGAAAAACATGAAATTTAAAGGACTACGAAAGCAGGTGACATTGGATGAGCTATTCAAGTCAAAAATTGTCGACATGAAAACCGTCCAACAACTGGATGATGGTGAGAAAACTCAGGATGAAGTGGGAAGTTCTATACTAAACTATCTAGAAGGATCAACTGCTATTGCTGGCCTATACAATGAAGCAACCAAAGATAAAATGTCCATATACAATGCCTTGAAGAAGGGTTATTTGAGGCCAGGAACCAGCTTGGTTTTGCTAGAAGCACAGGCAGCTACAGGGTTCATTGTTGATCCCATCAACAACTTGAAACTGTCAGTGGATGAAGCGGTAGAACAGAAAGTAGTGGGATGGGATTACAAAGACAAACTCCTTTCAGCGGAGCGAGCTGTCACTGGGTACACTGATCCGTACTCTAAAGAAACACTCTCACTCTTCCAGGCTATGAAGAAGGGCCTCATCTTGAAAGACCACGGCATCCGCCTCCTGGAAGCTCAAATCGCCACAGGGGGCATCATCGATCCGCAAGCCAGCCATCGTCTTCCAGTGGAAGTGGCCTACAGCAGAGGACTGTTTGATGAGGAAATGAATCAAATATTGGCCGACCCCAGTGATGACACCAAGGGCTTTTTTGATCCAAACACTGAAGAGAACCTCACATATTTAGATCTCAAGCAGCGCTGCATCATTGACCCTGACACAGGTCTATGCTTGCTATCTCTGAAGGAAAAACGAACCAAGTTTGGGAACATCAGTTCAGGTGATGTTCCAAAAATAGTTGAATCAAAGACTGTTCAGAGTTCTCAGATTGGAACATCGTCCCAAACTACAACAATTACAACGACCACTACAACCACACGTACAGAAGTAGAAATTTGGAACAAACTTCAAAATTCATATATTGAAATATCCTTTGGGAAGTTCTCTGGAAAGAAGATGTCACTAAAAGAGTTATTTGAAACAGATCTCATTGATGAAGCCACGAAAAAGCAACTACTAGACGACTTCAGATCTGGAAAAATTTCATTTGAGAAACTAATGATCATAATTACTGAAATAATTGAACGACAGAAGCAAAGTGAAAAGGGTAGAAACATTTCATTTAAGGGGCTGCGGAAGCCAGTGTCTCTAGAAGAACTGGTCAAATCAAAACTCTTGGACAGTAAAACGGTAGACCAGTTGATGCAAGGCCTAAAATCAGAGGAAGAAGTTAGGCGGTCAATACAAACCTACCTTGGCGGATCGACGGCTATTGCTGGAGTGTACATTGAAGCAGCAAAGGAAAAAATGTCCATATACAATGCCTTGAAGAAAGGTTATTTGAGGCCAGGAACCAGTTTGGTTTTGCTCGAAGCGCAGGCAGCTACAGGGTTCATTGTTGATCCCATCAACAACTTGAAACTGTCAGTGGATGAGGCAGTGGAACAGAAAGTAGTAGGATGGGATTACAAAGACAAACTCCTTTCAGCAGAGCGAGCTGTCACTGGGTACACAGATCCGTACTCTAAAGAAACACTCTCACTCTTCCAGGCCATGAAAAAGGAACTCATCTTAAAAGACCATGGGATCCGGCTCCTGGAAGCTCAAATCGCTACTGGTGGCATCATTGACCCGCAGGCCAGCCATCGTCTTCCAGTGGAAGTGGCCTACAGCCGAGGACTGTTTGATGAGGAGATGAACCAAATATTGTCCGACCCCAATGATGACACTAAAGGTTTCTTTGATCCAAACACTCAGGAGAACCTCACGTATTTAGACCTCAAGAATCGTTGCATCACCGAACCAGAGACTGGACTGTGTTTGCTGCCAATTAAAGACAAGAACTCAAAAACAAAGACACTCATTGTCACCAGTGAAAACGTGCAGACTGACAGTCAAGGAAAAAATGAATCCAATAATGGTGTAGATCTTAAGATTGGGAGAACCATCAGAGGTCAAGTGGGGTCCCACGTATTGTCCAGGAAAGTGAAATGTTGGACACGTTCACAAAGTCAACGGTTACGATCAAGAGTGGAAAATTTGCCAACAGAAAAATGTCTTTACTGGAAATATTTGAGACTGATCTGGTTGATAAAGAAAGGAAAGAGAAATTAATAAATGATTATAAAACTGGAAAGATTTCTCAGGAGATTTTGCTCATCATGATAATTGAAATAATTGAGACAGATAGAATGAGTGAAAAGATGAAAAACATGAAATTTAAAGGACTACGAAAGCAGGTGACATTGGATGAGCTATTCAAGTCAAAAATTGTCGGACATGAAAACCGTCCAACAACTGGATGATGGTGAGAAAACTCAGGATGAAGTGGGAAGTTCTATACTAAACTATCTAGAAGGATCAACTGCTATTGCTGGCCTATACATTGAAGCAACCAAAGATAAAAATGTCCATATACAATGCCTTGAAGAAGGGTTATTTGAGGCCAGGAACCAGCTTGGTTTTGCTAGAAGCACAGGCAGCTACAGGGTTCATTGTTGATCCCATCAACAACTTGAAACTGTCAGTGGATGAAGCGGTAGAACAGAAAGTAGTGGGATGGGATTACAAAGACAAACTCCTTTCAGCGGAGCGAGCTGTCACTGGGTACACTGATCCGTACTCTAAAGAAACACTCTCACTCTTCCAGGCTATGAAGAAGGGCCTCATCTTGAAAGACCACGGCATCCGCCTCCTGGAAGCTCAAATCGCCACAGGGGGCATCATCGATCCGCAAGCCAGCCATCGTCTTCCAGTGGAAGTGGCCTACAGCAGAGGACTGTTTGATGAGGAAATGAACCAAATATTGGCCGACCCCAGTGATGACACCAAGGGCTTTTTTGATCCAAACACTGAAGAGAACCTCACATATTTAGATCTCAAGCAGCGCTGCATCATTGACCCTGACACAGGTCTATGCTTGCTATCTCTGAAGGAAAAACGAACCAAGTTTGGGAACATCAGTTCAGGTGATGTTCCAAAAATAGTTGAATCAAAGACTGTTCAGAGTGCTCATATTGGAACATCGTCCCAAACTACAACAATTACAACGATCACTACGACCACACTTACAGAAGTAGAAATTTGGAACAAACTTCAAAATTCATATATTGAAATATCCTTTGGGAAGTTCTCTGGAAAGAAGCTGTCACTAAAAGAGTTATTTGAAACAGATCTCATTGATGAAACCACGAAAAAGCAACTACTAGACGACTTTAGATCTGGCAAAATTTCATTTGAGAAACTAATGATCATAATTACTGAAATAATTGAGCGACAGAAGCAAAGTGAAAAGAGTAGAAGCATTTCTACAACAATTACAACGACCACTACGACCACACTTACAGAAGTAGAAATTTGGAACAAACTTCAAAATTCATATGTTGAAATATCCTTCGGGAAGTTCTCTGGAAAGAAGATGTCACTAAAAGAGTTATTTGAAACAGATCTCATTGATGAAGCCACGAAAAAGCAACTACTAGACGACTTTAGATCTGGAAAAATTTCATTTGAGAAACTAATGATCATAATTACTGAAATAATTGAACGACAGAAGCAAAGTGAAAAGAGTAGAAGCATTTCATTTAAGGGGCTGCGAAAGCCAGTGTCTGTAGAAGAACTGGTCAAATCAAAACTCTTGGACAGTCAAACGGTACAGCAGTTGATGCAAGGTCTAAAATCACAGGAAGAAGTTAGGCGTTCGATACAAAACTACCTTGGGGGATCGACTGCTATTGCCGGAGTTTACATTGAAGCAGCAAAGGAAAAAATGTCCATATACAATGCCTTGAAGAAAGGATTTTTGAGGCCAGGAACCAGTTTGGTTTTGCTGGAAGCGCAGGCAGCTACAGGATTCATTGTTGATCCCATCAACAACCTGAAGCTGTCAGTGGATGAGGCCGTGGAACAGAATGTAGTAGGATGGGATTACAAAGACAAACTCCTTTCAGCAGAGCGAGCTGTCACTGGGTACACAGATCCATACTCTAAAGAAACAATCTCACTCTTCCAAGGCTATGAAGAAGGGCCTCATCTTGAAAGACCACTGGCATTCGCCTACTGGAAGCTCAAATCGCCACAGGCGGCATCATCGACCCAGAGGCCAGCCATCGTCTTCCAGTGGAAGTGGCCTACAGCCGAGGACTGTTTGATGAGGAGATGAACCAAATATTGTCCGACCCCAGTGATGACACTAAAGGTTTCTTTGATCCAAACACTCAAGAGAACCTCACGTATTTAGACCTCAAGAATCGCTGCATCACCGACCCTGACACAGGTCTATGCTTGCTTCCTATTAAAGAGTTTAATGGAGTTAACCCCAAAGATTCGAAAACATCGAAAGAAATGATCATCCAGAAGACAGAAACTGTGGAAAAATATGCTGGTGGCTCTTCCTCGGAGAACGATCCATTTTTGGTGGAGTCTTCCGTAAGTTCTAATGAGGAAAGATTCATCATCATAGAATCTCAGGTCCTAGATATACTTTACAATGAAAAAATAAACATGACTTTTGGAAGATTTGCCGGTAAAAATGTTTCTCTGAAAGACATATTTGACAGTGATTTTATAGACGCAGAAACGAGAGAGAAACTCATTGATGATTACAAATCTGGTAAAATATCACTTGCGGATGTGGTTGCTATTGTGACTAAGATTATTGAAGCCAAGGAACGGACCGAGGCAAAGAAGAACCTTTGGTGCCGAGGTTTCCGCCGTCAAGTTAGCGTCGCACAACTTGTCGAGTCACAGGTATTAGACGATGAAGTTGCAAATCAGTTGGCCGATGGACGAACGTCTATCCAAGAAGTTACCCGGCTGGTAAAGAGGTACCTTGAAGGCACTAGCAGCATTGCAGGACTTTACCTGGAGGAAACCAAAGAGAAGGTGTCAGGTCAGTAACGCCATCCAGAGAAGAATGCTCAAGCCGGAGAGCGGCATGGCCTTACTGGAAGCACAGGCGGCGACTGGGTTCATTATCAACCCTGTAAGCAATGAAAAGCTCACGGTCCATGAGGCTGTCGAAAAAGGTGTTGTCCAAAAGGAATCGCGTGATCAGCTTCTCGCAGCGGAGTGTGCCGTTACCGGTTACAAGGACCCCCACTCGGGGGGCGTCCTGTCACTGTTCCAAGCCATGAAGAAAGGCGTTGTGCCAAAAGACCACGGAATTCATCTGCTTGAGGCTCAGATCGCCACAGGTGGCATCATCGATCCGCAGGCAAGCCATCGCCTGCCAACGAATGTTGCCTACAGCCGAGGGCTGTTTGACGAGGAGATGAACAAAACTTTGGTTGAAGGAAAAGAATTCACCAAGGGCTTCTTTGATCCAAACACTGGAGAGAAGGTCACTTACCTGGACTTAATGAAACGCTGCATCACCGACCCCGACACGGGGTTTTACCTCTTTGTGCTGAGACAGAGCAAGCAAACGTCCACGGTCGTACAGAAACGCAAAATCATTATTGATCCTGACGTCGGCAAGGAGATGAGTGTCTACGAGGCGTATGAGAAAGGCCTCTTGGGCAAAGAGCAGTACCTCAAGCTTTCAGCAGACGAATGTGCATGGGAGGAGAGGAAGGTGACGCTTCCAGACGGCACCACCTACTCTACGTTGGTCGACAAGAAATCGGGGAAATGCTATGACGTTTCGAAAGCACTGGCCGAGGATAAAATCAAGGGCGAGTTGGTGCAGAAGTACAACTCTGGCGCGATTTCCATCTTCGAGTTCGCGGACAAACTCTCCGCTGCGTTAAATGCTCAGTAGGATTTGGTCAAAGTGGCCCATGGGGGACTGAGAAAACAAAACCAATACAAAGATGCAAACAACAAAGGAGCGATCGCATTCAGCGGGTATGACACACAGTCAGTGCATAGGAGGACACTTTCCCCACTTTCTGTCAAATTTAGCATTTGCACTCTACGAAGACAAATTATTTGGTCCACTCATGGTACACATTCTGTATGTATAAACATTAAGTAGAAGAATAAAAGGATTTAGAACTTGAGGCTGGTATTGCCCTGTGGGTAAAACTATTCAACCTAAGGGCTATTTTTTTTGGTGGAGAGACCAGGGGTCCATATTTGAAATTTGGGGTTTTTGGATTTACTGTATCTGGTTATAAGCATATAATGGTTGGTTTTTTATTAGCCATTCTAGAACATTAGAATATACCGTATCACTTGCTCGTTCAAATGGTTTATCCGCATTAGATGATAAGTATGCTTACTTAGATTTTAGAATGTTTTCAATCAGCTGTCAATTTACAATTGAGGCTGCAATGTTTTTACGTCACATTCGTGTTTTATCGTGTGGCTTCAGATGTTTTTTAAATGTTCCGTTTATAAACAGTAGATCAGAAAGCCACGGAAGGTGTATTGATACTAGCACCTGGTGTCAGGATTCAGGGTTTAGATGTAATGCTCTATTTTATCTTTCCATGTGGGGCTATGTTTCGTATATTTTTCAAAACGTGGATTTTAATAAAGAATAACAAAAAAATTAATCAATGTGATAGTGTCACATGTGTTGGGGCATCGATGCAGTGTGGAATGAACGTTTACCTGTGGTGTATTTGTATAGCGTGTGTACTTGGCTACTCCACGCGGGGTCTCCTTGGCTACTTTCCACTCAACCCCAGCGTCAAAATTGTTCACACGTCCCCGTTTAAAGATGTTTCTGCTACTTGTTGAGTGGAGTCTCGTTTGCGGAGGGAGCGACCCGGGTCAACGAACAAGACGACCAGGAGGAGCACAGCGGCGAGGAAAAATCGATCGGAACAAACGATAAACATGGACCATTATGACCACGACTGTGTTAACCACATACCTGTCAACCCCCTTATCAGCCTTATAACAGACCAATTCGGACCTCAATAGCCACCCCGTGCCCTTAGAAATTTCAACGTTCATCCGACAGAGTCCCATCACAAGGGAGAAACACAAACAAATAGATAAAACATAATCTTGTTTTTTTAAACTACCTCAGTGTTTTGTGTGTGTACTCATGCATGTAACCCCTTATAAGTGCCCTGACTTATGACAGACCAATTCGGACCTCGTTGGCCACCCCGTGCCCTTAGAAATTTCAACGTTCATCCGACAGAGTCCCATCACAAGGGAGAAACACAAACAAATAGACAAAATATTATCTTGTTTTTTTAACTACCTCATAGTTTTGTGTGTGTGTACTCATGCATGTAACCCCTTATCAGTGCCCTGCCTTATGACAGACCAATTCGGACCTCATTGGCCACGCCGTGCCCTTAGAAATCTCAACGTTCATCCTACAAAGTCCAATCACAAGGGAGAAACACAAACAAATAGACCAAAATATTATCTTGTTTTTTTAACAACCTCAGTGTTTTGTGTGTGTACTCATGCATGTAACCCCTTATAAGTGCCCTGCCTTATGACAGACCAATTCGGACCTCATTGGCCACCCCGTGCCCTTAGAAATCTCAACGTTCATCCTACAAAGTCCCATCACAAGAGAGAAACACAAACAAATAGACCAAAATATTATCGTTTTTTTAACTACCTCATAGTTTTTGTATGTGTACTCATGCATGTAACCCCTTATCAGTGCCCTGCCTTATGACAGACCAATTCGGACCTCATTGGCCACCCCGTGCCCTTATCAATCTCAACGTTCATCCGATAAAGTCCCATCACAAGGGAGAAACACAAACAAATAGACCAAAATATTATCTTGTTTTTTTAACTGGCTGGATGCTCGGAGTCAAACAGATTTGTTTTTTGAGCACATCCGAAAACTGCTTGAACCGGTTCACGGTTCAAAAGTGTTTTCAGAAACCGGTTTGAATATGTTTTTGTTTAATCATTTGCATAATTTATCCCTGCGTTACAGGCTACAATGTATGCACGGGTACAGTACAGACACGAGAGGCCTTTGGTTTGCAAATTGTAGCGAACGTCCAACATCGATAGCTTTCTTTCATTGCTTATCGTTCATCCATTGCAGGTGCTGAAGATTAGCACTAAACATAATCAACTGACGATGAGAAATCAAACGAAGCGTTCTAAATATTGCACGACGTTCAGCAATCATACGGTGCTTGACAGTATCTGGCGACTGTATATTAGTAATAACTGCATGCATCGGGGTGGGGGGGACATCACACAGTGAAGAATTTAACTGAGCGTTGTGTATTTTTAAATCCTTTATATTAAGTTCGCTTGCTTGCTTGCGTGCTTGCTTGCTTGCTTAGGACCGTGCAAATCTTTCGGTCGTTTTTTAACCCACTTCCCGTGATCCAATCGAGCTGACATTTTGCACACAGACTCGTTGTGCGAGACAATTAATGTTCGTGAATTTTTTTTCCAAAATTTTACACTGTTTAGGGAAAACAAATTAAATATTTAATTACCAATTGCTTAATACTGGCAGACAATCATCTGACCCATAGGTGGCAGCCATCTCAAGCCAGAGGACGAGAGGACTCTAGCCGCCACGCATATAAAGGATTTATAGTGAAAACTTTGTTTTTACGGGTTAATTTTTATAGCATTTTTAACGCTAAAGAAAATGCCCCCCTCACTCCCACCGAAGGCGTCCGACTTGGCATCATGGGCCGTTCTCCCCACCAAAGGCGCGTGCGTTTGTATGGTCGTGCATGCGTCATAAATAAATAAATATAAATGAAGCACACAAAAATCTCACTAAATCGCTAGTTAAACTTATTTAAAGTTGACGGATGTGAAAAAGGAATAGCGCTTGCTGACCGCGGGGCTTACGGCGTGGTACCTGGATATTTTTTTATGTCATATACCCCACCGTTGGAGAGCCAAGCTCACGACCACACACAAACCCACACACAAACCCACACACAATTTTTGACTTTTATATATATAGAAGAGAAGATAGAAGAAGAAGATATATTTCAGAGCTCAGTACCGGATAGCTCCGGCTCAGATAATCGCACACTGAGTTTTCCCTTCACAACCAAATGAATACGCAGAAGCGGGCAGTCCACTTTCTCAACAACGATGTGTGGTGAGTGGCAACTTTAATCGGACACGTGCCAATAACGACAAACATCCAAGAAACGAACCCAGTTCATCATGGCCATCGCGCGCCACCTGCCGGCCAACTTACTCAAAGTACAACACAAGTAGCCACAGCTCATTCCGATGTGCGTGTGTGGGGGGGGGGAATATATTTTTTGTGATCCCTCGGTGTTGTTCGGAGCGATGTCCGACGTTTCGCTGCACGTGCTGGTAGCGTCTTATAGAAAATTACAATTCGGGTTTCCGTAAAGGGAATAGTTGAGCCGAATTTTGTTCTTTTAATTCGGAGGAAAAAAGCTCCCAGCACGTGTAGCGAAACGTCGGGCAGTCATCATGTCCCATCAACAATAGCCACGCTTTTAGCGGTACAATCCCCCCCCCCCCCCAAAAACACACGCATCTGAGAAGCCACACAGCACAACTGCACAAACCTACGTGGCGATGCAATTGTGCAACACTGGACATCGTCACCAGCCAGACACGTCGGCGCTTCAAACACGGAATCATGCGTCGATCAGGTTTGTTGTTGTTGTTGTTGCTAAATGAACATTCTCGTTGTAACGCGACACGAACAATTCATGGTATTGCGTCTCGATCTCGATCACATGCGAGCGCTGGTTGGTTTTGCATATTCACTCGGAACGAATTTACACGGCTTACATCGCCACGTGCGTAGCGATTCGCTGTTGTTTCTTTAGCCCTAAAGCTCATTAATCATCATCATTAATTAGGCTAATCACACCGAGCGCCTGGCACGTGACTAGACGGATGTTCATTGCTTCTGCGAATTAATGAATGAGCACTCACACTCGGCTCGGATTGCCAAATTAGCGCAAATTGAACGGCGCGAACAAAGGGCACGCAGTCTTTTTCCTCTTCGTTCGTTCACCTCCACTCTGTTCGGTCATTCGTTCGTTCTACCGGGTGCCGATATTTGCGCTTCGCGGAGGGGCACGAAGACCGGACCGGACCTCCCATCGGGTTCACCGCGAGATGGGACCTCCCCCCATCTCGGTTCCCCCATGCTTCGATTCAGGACCTCGCTCGCAGCCTGTCTCCCTTAATTCATTCCCTCGTTCCTCCTCTCGGTTAAATTCACGGCCACAGAGAGAGAGAGAGACCGATCAACGGATGCCCCTCGAGTGGTGTCGGGGCGAGGAGGAGGAGGAGGCGGGGACATGTGTGGGAGGACGGTGATCGAGTCGGCGAAGGTGTCAGTGATGTTTGAGATGTTCTTTATCGCCGGGTCATCGTCCCGGTGCCACTCACGGACGACTTCTGGTACTGATGGTCGAGCAGTTTGATGGCGCGGTCCGCGTTCTCCACGTTGCGGATGAGCGTCGCCAACCTCTTCTTGAGCTTCCTCCTATCCTCGAGTGCGCAGCCGATGACCAGCGACTGGAACTTTCTGTCGAGGGGACCCGTCGATGAGGGTTCGCCGTCCGCGTGGCAGGCGCCGTGCAGCGAGGCGAGGCGCCTCTTGGCACCGTCCAGGTCGTCCCGCAGACGTGCGGCGACGTCGTCGATGAGCGAGCTGGCCTTGCGCAGGGCCTCCTGTTGCTGTGCGTTGCGCAGCGTCTCGAGAGCCACCTCCACGGTGAGGGTGCGGCTCAGCAGCCGCTCGGCCGTGACGCTCAGCTCCTCGCGCTCGCCCGTCGACAGCGCCGCGCGGGACGGCAGGCGCACGGTGACACCGCGCGGCGACAGCGGCACCCGCGGCTGGACGAGCAGAAAGCAATTCATGTCTGCGGCTGGAAAGGTGGCTTGCTGCTGTTGCGGCTGCTGATGGCGAAGATTCTTCTGCTGCTGCTATACCTCGAGGAAGGGGGACCTCCTCCGATAGCTCGAGTGACGCAGGAAGACACCGGTGTCTCTCGCTCCTCTGCCCGCACTAGGATCTCGACTCACATTTATACTCCTCGCTATGATGCGCCCGTCACCGCCGCCCACTCGCACTCTACTCTCGAGCGTGGGGAGGGAAAGCCCCATCCATGCCTGGCAACTGGTTCACTCCCCCCCCTACCCACCCCCACTCTCTCCCCCGCCTCTCGCTTCCCTCCCTCCCTCCTCCTCCTCGTGTGTGGTGTTATTGTCTGTTGTTCTCTGGTTGGATTATCTGATAGTGGCTGAGCGCGCACGCGTGGCTACGTCAGACCGCGCTGCAAGTGACGCACGGCAGACGCTCGGTCGGCTCCCTCGGTCCGCGTGCGAGGAGGAGGGGGGAGCGACTCCTCGGCTCTCGTCCCACGCGCGTGTGGGACGAGCTGCGACGATGAGCGACAAAGCGAACATGAGAGAGAGATTTCCCCGTGCGCGTTGAGACAACGTGTGAATTAGCGGGGACACGAGGAATGCGTCATCCGCAAAGCGTAGGGCCGCCGCGATGCGCGAACACTACCATAATTGGTATTTCGGATATTTTTTGCGCGTGTGTGTAGGGTTTATTTATTTTTTTCGTCCGTAAAAAAATATATAC